ATATCACGGGGCTAGAGCCAACTTGTTGTTTATGTTCGCCAAGATGGGCGATAACATTACAATATGGTTACCTTGATATTTTTATCGTCTGACGATGTGGTTGCCATGAGATAACGTATATTATAAAGAATTAACTTTTTAATTTTTATCCATTATTAATTTTAATATACATTATGTAATTGTTTTTGGATATTAGTTTGATATCACGGAGCAAGGCGCCAAGTACTGCTTGGCGCGATAAAGGAATCACACCAAGCAGTGTTTGTTGTCGCTGGAATGGAATTCAAGATGGCGGGCTAGCGGTAAAAAAAAACCGCCAGTAAGAGGATTTTAAAGAATTGTTTTGAAATACATTGAAAAAAATTTCAAATGAAGAATATGGGAAGAGATTGAGAATAACCAAGATCAATCAATAAATAATATATATACTGCATAATATTATTAGTAGTACACACATGCAACTTTTTATTATAATATATTAATATTCATCAATAAATAATGAATATAAATATTCTCAATCTCTTCCCATATTCTTCCTTTGAAATATATTTCAATGTATTTCGAAACAATTCTTTAAAATCACAACTTCCTGAAGATTTTTTTTTCCTGCTGGACCGCCATCCTGAATTCTATTCCAGCGACAACCAACGCTGCTTGGCGTGATTCCTTTATCGCGCCAAGCAGTGCTTGACGCCTTTCCCCGTGATATCAAACTAGTTATCTGATTTTGAAATTAGGCTATATCGTCATACTGTGAAGAAATTTATGTATTACTGATTGATTGAGTAATGGCACAAGATTGGTATGAAACTTATTCAGAAGAATATACTCTATAGTGTGAAATTTTATCAGGAGAGAAGAAAGGCGATATTGTATGAATGCGAAGGATCCCACTGGACACTCGAGGGGACTTGGGTATGTCATTCGTACTGAAACGTGGGGGGGTACGAAATTCCCTGTAAGATTGGCATTTGCCCTGACTGTTGATAAATCACAGGGATTGAGTTTTCGAAAAGTCGATTTACGTGTAACATCGAAGGAGACAATATTTACTCATGGACAATTGTATGTGGCTCTGCCAAGGTGCAGAAGAAAAGACGGAATAAAGATTTAGGGCAATTTAGAGGAAAAGGTGGTTAGGAACTGTGTTCATAAAGAGGCACTAAATTGAAGCACAAATTAAAATGTCGCCCATCCGGTATAGTGGTTAGCGACGCTGAATGCTGTGCCGTAGGACCTGGGTTCGAATTCCGGAGAAGACATGGATGTTTGTGAATGTATAGTGCCTTTGCGGCATGGGGGTACTTTAAATAGCTGTCGAGCCTCAAGTCCTCTCGTGAGGTTGGTGGAAGGGGAAAAGAGTTGGGAGGCCCCTGACGCTCTCCCAGGGTGTTCTCCTCAAAATTGAGGTGGAACCGAGCTAAATCGTACTGTCACCTTTATGGTGCTCAATGCTACAGCCAACGACAGGTGTACATCTAGCCCCTTGCCATGATGAATTTTGTGGGCCTGAATCTGACGCAGTCGAGATCAGGTGGCATAAGAAACAACAACAACAAATTAAAATACAGAGATGAAGACTTTAAATTTATTTTTTTCCTGCTTATACAATATATTGAAAAAGCCCCACCCCCTCCCTCATCCAGTATAGTGACGCTGACTGCGGTGCCGTAGGGCCTGGGTTCGAATACCGGAGAAGGCATGAATGTTTGTGTTGTAATCCTTCATGACTTTAAAAATTCCTTCTTTCTTTTGTGTTGTGGGCTTCACGCTTACTTCTGCAAGCCCCCGTGTGATACTTTGTGGTGCACGGAGTTTATAAATGTTCTCAATCAAAAAAATATATATATATTGAAAAAATAGAACTATATAATACATGTAAATTACAATTTTACAGTTTGAGCAATGAGTAAAAGCGGTTGTATAATTTGTACAATGGGAGTTGGTCCACCGTTAGGCAGACCGAGTCCCCCCCCCCCATTATAATTAAAAATTGAAATTATGTTTTTGGTAGTTTGTAATGTGACAATCATGCATGAAGTGTTTTATCAGCTCCCATGCTGTGTGGCTATCTGTATAATAAAAGCCTTGTATCAGTGCTAAAACTTAATAATGTTAATACTTTTTCATATAATTTGTATTTAGATTACCATTCTTTCATTTCTCTTTATATTTTTAGCGCGTTTTTCACGTAGTGGAACAAAAGCGCTATTAGGACACAAATTTCGTCATCGTCTTCGTTCCATATTTTGTCGTACCTTTTTCTCAGCCAATAAGCAGCCGATTGGCCTCAGGTTTTCGGCATTTGGTCACATTTGTGCCCTAGATGAGCCGAATCACATTTAAATTTAATAATTTTTAAATTAAAATTTTTTTTTAAAGTTCAGTACTACTTTCTGTTAGTAAAAAGTTCATTAGTTGCATTATTGTAAAATACAACATGTGAAAAACGCGCTAAAATTACTTGGCCATGCCAATGATTGATATCTTGTTTATGTTAATTTTCTATTTCAGATTCAAATACAGTAATACTCCTGAGGTGGGATAGAGTGAAAACCGAGTAAGTCGGGGTATAATTTCGTATATAAATACATATAAATTATTTTTTGTTAAGAGTAAAGGCCGAAAGAAAATAATTTAGAAAAAAAATGTTTGGCAGGATAACACACATACAAAATCGCAAGCTGAAGTTATTTTGATATATAGAAGGTTTCATAAAATGTAACAAAATGTTCTTCAGGCTCAAAGATTTTTTTTTCTCCCGCAAAATTTCCTCATAGCATACTAATAATTTTTTATTGAAGTCTATGTCTTATAACCCTTTTTCAATTCTTACTATTAGCCCACACTCTCCATATATTTATCTTGTTCAAATTTATTCGTTAATAAAATACTTTCTATACTTGTTCAATTAAACGGATGATTTCTGTCAAATTTCCAGCCGTCATTCGATCTTCTGATTGAACTTGGTCTAAAGATTTCGTTTCTAGATTCTATTTCGTTTGAATGACATAGCCGTCTCTCAAATCTGCGTAGATATAAGCTTTTGATTTTATTTCCATTATTTAATAAACATTTGCTCAAGTGCATTCCGGAGGTACACTTTATGTTGTGTAGTGACAAATATGACGATTTTTTTTTCAAAGCTCTGACTAAATCAACCCCATGAGGTGTTAATTTTCTCCAGGTAAATGTGGGATTTAAAATTCTGAAACACATATGAAATCCTTCTGCTAGGATTGGTTAGACACAGGTGACATACCCTGAGAGTGCCGTAGCAATCTTTCTCCTTTTTTGACCCTATGTGGGTTGTAAGTTAAAAAATTTTTACTTTTACTTTTTTAAAATTCCTTGGGCTGATATTTAACTTGGTCAAAAGGCCATATTTCTAAATTACTGAGATACAGTGAAAAAAAAATACTTAAAAGAATGAAAGAAAAACAGAATAAAATTTTTTTCAACTGCCCAGTTTTATTTTTCAGGTTTTTTCTGTAATTAATAAATTTATAAACGATATAAATAATTGGTAATTTAAGAAAATTCACTTATTTTTTTATAGAAATTTTTAGAAAATTTATACATTTTATAAAACAAAAGCTTATTCCACATTTCTTGATGATTTTTATTCAAGATGGTTGTCCCTAGGCAGTATTTTTAATTGTATCAATTTATCTCTCTCTATGTTAAAAAAAATACCACCGAGCACCATGAATGATTTACCTAGAGAGGGGGGGGGTCTCCTCCAGCCTTCCAATGCTTTTTCGAAAGTTCCGCTAATGTCTTAAATTGTGATGTTATAGCAATTTCCAGAAGCATCCATAGGGCCACCAACATGATCGCCGTCACGAAATTTGGTCGCCTGAAATTATGTTCACTTGGCTATCTCGTCAAATTTTGTCAAGTTTCCATTGAAATGCCATTAAAATGTAAGATATGACGCTGCTTGCGCGAATATTGCAATTTTTTATATCATAAAATAAATACAACAGAAAGTTATATTAACGTATTAAACATCCAGATATAAATTATTTACACCATTTTAAGACGTGCATAAGGGAGGTTCGTATGTTGCTAGGCGGACAGGGCTTATCATAAAAATCCTTTACTTATCATAAAAAAAAACATTTGAGATAATGTGAAAGGATAACTTCAATAGCCAGTAAATAAGATTACAAAAAGGGTGATTAAAAATAGTTGCAGTTTTTCTTTATCACTTTCTATGTGTAATTCGGTAAACAAAGCAAATTCCAAAAATATTTGCAAAATGGCCTTAGGCTTAAGTTTTGACATTTCAGTAGCAAGCCAGGTCCATTTTTATTTTTACTATCTTCGTTTTTTGTTAGTATAATTTTACTCTGTTCTGTTGATTATACTTCTTCCAACTAACCTACATTCATTTCCTTAAGTTTGCTTACTTATAAATATGCAAGAAAAATAAAAATAAAACTTTATCTGTTTTAGTTCAAAATCGAATTTTTAAATGCACAGTCGGAAAAAAAAAGAGATAAAATGGCATTTTTTAATGTTTTAAATTACAACAATTCTTGAAAAAAAGTATCGACATTTTTGCTATCATTATTTATCTTACATTAATTATCTTATTTTACGGGGAAAAAGCTCTCTCTCTCTACATATATTTTTCTATAATTAATTTACATATTTTACCTGGGCGAAACGTAGTTATATTGTCAAAATAATGCTTTGATTTGAGATATTTTGAAACAAGTAATATAAAAAAAAATTTAAGTCAATTCCTACTTGGGTTCACAAAGAAATTTTTTATTTTAGTTACTTTTTATAAAATTAATATAAATATGTATATAAGTATGGCAGAATCATAATATATTAAGTGCCAAAATAGAAAGCAATTTTCCATTTTCCTTTCTATATAGGGTGTTGGACAGTAATTTTTGTTTGTTACTATTTAATCATTAATTATATATTTAATTATTCCAATAAAACAGTATAGTAAAAAGAAATCACATTCTCAGAAATTAAGCCATTCCAGGTGGTAATTGCCCCACGACCTTTGGATTAGAAGTCCAACGCGATGTCATTTGCGCTACAGGGACACAACGAGCGATTTCCCTTTTTATATATAGTGTTGGACTATTAGTTTTGTTTGTTACTAATTATTAATTAATTAAAAAATTAATCAATTAATATTTGAAAAAACTGTATTAACATCAAGTTTTTAAGTCTCTACAAGTTTAAAAAAATGTGTTTGAACTTGAGTGGATGAATGAAAAGTATTTTATTAACAATTGAAAATTTGAACAAGATATATATATATATATATATATATATGTATATAAACATATATACTGAGAGTAGGAACTAATAGTAGGAATTGAAAAAGCATCTGCATTTCAAAACAAGTCGTTAAGTATATGTAAGAATATCGTCTGCTCAACAGACATATATATATTGTTATGCAATTTAGGAAATATGCTATCTGGGAATTGAACATCATTAAATTTCTCACGGTTTTAGAATTAATTAGTTTATTTCAATTGTAATTTTGGAATAAAAAATTGAGTTTCAATTTATGATTCATCCTGCAATCTCGCATTTCATTATATTTGATAATTCACAAAGCCTACACAAAAGATAAATAATTTTCAAGCATTTATAAAAGTTATTTCTTTTTTTTTATGACAAATGTTTAATGACTTCCTTTTGGAATTTTGAACTGTTTTTTATGATTTTCGAATTTTCATTTTGAAAATAATGAGATTAGTTTAATTTCATTAAAAAATTTAACTCTAGCGCCACCATCATGGCTTTCCTGTTGAATTTTTTTTAGAATGATGGACTTCCGCACTGATTTCTAGTTTCACGAATTAATTAGATGCAACTTACACAACCTTATAGATTCCTGTCTCGTTGCTGCTTAATTGCATTAACCTTGAGTCTACTTTTGTTCTATCTCTATTGATTAGGATCTGTGAAACTATTTAATCAATAAAAAAACTACTTTATTTCTTGATCGTCTTGTGAGAGTTTAGAATTATTTAAATAAAATTTACAGTAAGAACAGACTTCAGAGTTCCAGAAGAAAAGGAGACTTCAGAGTTCTCAAGCAAATTAACTGTTCATGAATATTTTTAAATACTTGTTGAATACTTTCGTAGGCTCAGACGGATTATATATATGCATAAAGATTTAGATAGAAAATCCGTCTTCCTTTAACCTCGTTCCAGAACTGTTACCACCAATGGCAGCAACGAATGCTGACGTGTGTGAAGGCTGAAGGAGACTACTTTGATAGTGATAATGATCACGGAATACTGTAATTACAACGATTTATTGAACCTTTTTTGTGTGTGTTACACCTCATATGCACGAGATCTCCAAAACTGTAAGATCTATAGGCTTGAAATTTGGCTTGCATGTTTATTTTGTTTCTGTTGAGTAGAGATCCACTAAAAGCCGATTTTGAGGAAATAGACTCTCAAGGAGAGGAGGGAAAGGGCTTGTGGCAGAGTAATAGATGAAAAGAATTCCCGTTTTTGTGAACTATCACTACAGGCCTTAATTTTGGTAGGTATGTTTCTTTTATTGCTTAGAGATCCACTTAGAATAAATTTTTGAGGAAATCGACTCCGAAGGGAGGTTGTGGCAGCGGCAGCCTAGTGGTCAAGGTAACGGACTCGTAGCCGACGTGTCATAATTCAAGCCTAATACCGATGTAGGGGGGGGGCGATGTATGTTAAATCTGCCGAAGCTCAAACGTTCTCCCGTTGGTATTGAGTGGAAGTTAGGAGAGACGGGTGCCAACTCAGGTGTCGTCCTCGTCACTTGACCATGGTTCAAAATTACGAGGTCCATCTCCAAATGCCCTCAAGTTGCTGCTACGTAAATATTCACTCCCTCACTCACACGAAGCGGCGTTAAATTCCCGTTTCTGAACTACTAAACTTTTAGACTTAAAAAATTTGGCATGCTCGTTTACTAAGAACGGGTTTTGCGGAAATAGATTATCAAAAGAGGAAAGGAGAGATAAAAAGTACATATACTTCCGTTTTATTAATTCATGTTCTGTCCTTTTTATATCAAGAATCGAGGGAAGTAAGGATGAGCTTGAGTACAATCGAAATTTAATGCTAGGTTTTAGATATCAATAACTTAAAAACAGTCGATAGTCACGCATCATCATGAAATACGCAGCGAAGTGGATAGGTAAAAAATAGTTGTAAATGTTTGATTAGTTATTTACACTGCTGGCCACCGTAAATGCAACACCAAGAAAGGCAAGAGATAGCACAACAAAATTTATATTGTAAATAACATGTTGACTAAGTATCAAATGATTAAATTTGTAGACTTCTGTGAAGTGTGGTTCCTGCCAGAATCAGTAGCCAGAGTAGTGACAACACAAATGGACTTAGTTGCTCGTCTGCATCGTGGACCCCACGATGCTGCGACGTGTGACGACAGCCATTCCACGGCATGCTGAAGCCTGCCTCGACATGCACGGTGGACATTTTGAACAACTGCCTTAAATTGTGCATATACTGCTGTTGATATGTTCAATGAAGTGTTTTTTCTTGCACCGGGGGGAAGTGACGTCATACTTTGTTTTTCGTATTTTTCTCGTAAACTATGAATCGTACAGGAACGCTTCTTTGGGCAGTTTTTATGTACTCCCAATGAGGAATTTAGCTGTGCAGAGTTTATGCGGTCGTTTTGGGGCACCCTGTATATAAGGATAATTAAATTAGACCTAAAACTAAATTCCCTATGCAACATTGAACTTTTATTTTCCGTTCAAGTCTTAAATTGAGTTCCCACTTTTTCGAGGAACACATGACCCTAAACAGAACTTTTTAATCACTGATTATTACTTTTTTAATCCTATATATCAGCAGTAACTTTCAAGTATAACCTATAGCTAAGAAGGGTACTTAGAACATCTGGATAGGTGGAAAGTCACTTATACTTCACTTGCGTGTTACATATATATATATGCCCCTATATATTAACGAATTCATCGGGACCTTACAATTTGTTCGCTAAATTAGGGTCATTTGTTATATCGGGGCGCATACAAAGTACAAAATTTTCGCGCTTCCCTTTTAGAAATCCTACGATAAGCAACTACACAAAAAGTAGCCGTAGTTAGGAGCTATACACATTTTATTACTAATAGTTAAAAATACTATTAGCGAATTATTACGCCCCAGTTAATTGGGAATTTCAAAATACTGACTAATAGATGTTTCGCAATCTTTTTAATTCCTGACACAAAAGAGTTATTTTCCACTTTATGCAAAGAAGAAAATATAAATCTATATTCTTTATCATGAATATATATTCTTTATCTTTTTCTCCAGTAAAAAGAGAGTCCACGAAGGTGAAATTAAAGAACTCTCAGTTGTTAGTTTTATTTTATTTATTTATTTGTAATTTTTGGCTACTCTCTTGAGATTAAATTAATGATCGGGCCCGAAAAAGATAATCTGAAGCTTTACTAATCGATCCAGAAACACTATGCATTCTTTTAACTAAAAGAAGTGTAATATCTGTAGGATAATATAAAAACCGACTTACTCTTTTTGAAAATTTTGCAATATATTTTAAGATGCTAAAAAGTATTAAAAAGTTATAAATATGAATACCTTTTCTTTCAGAAATACAACAGTTTTTTTTTTTAAAGGAGACATTTTTGTTTTAAACTTCATTTTAAATCAAAACATGTAATCTTACATTTTACGTTATTAAAACATGTAATCTTTTATGAAGTTCCAATATTGCATAACAATTTAATTGTATTGGTTAACAAAGCAGCGCCCCCTCCCACAAATATGTAATGAATAAATTACTATAACATTTCACAACTAAAAATATAGAATCAGAACTGTAGGTTTTTAACCCCCCCCCCCCCCGGCAAATAAAAATAGCTACAGATATTCATTCATAAAACTAAAATAGAGGGGGAAAATAGACAACATGATTTTTATTCAAAGTAGGAAAGTATCGAGTTTTCTGAGGGAAATTTTTTTTTACTTCCGAACCAATTTTACATCCTTATTTGCTATAAAATCAGCAAACAAAAATAAGATTGAAAGTTCAATAAAGATGGCAGCACGATTAAAGCAAAATGTCACAACCGATAGAGTCTTGCATACAATATATAGATATTCTAAATTTCTTTATTGCAGTTTATTACATAAGCAATTCGTTATATTTCACGAAAAACGAAGCAAACGCTGGATTATGTTGATGTCATTGTAGCACAGAGATATTTACATTTTTTTTGGAAGTACAATTTGAATAAATTAATTACATTTTCTGCATTTAAAAACAAAAACAAAACCATATCTGTCAAAAGTCTTTAATTATGTTTGTCGGGATTTACAAGCAATATTAAAAAATCTCTGTAAAATGTATTACAGAAATGTATTTCTTTCGCACAAAATAGTTTAAATGTGTATCATAAAAGTATGTATTCAATATTATAGATGATAAATTAATTATATATATTGGTGTTGTTTATACTTTAGGTTGTAGTATAACTGTAAAAATATTGTATCTATTTACATTATTTAAAATCTGTTCAGCTCGATTAAGTTAAGGTCGCTGATTTATTTTTTGAGATGAGTATAAATTGAGCTTAAATTAAAAAACCAAAATTTAATTACAATAATGGACAATTATATTTAATTAAAGTAATGTTTATTATAAATTTATAAGTAGGACTTTCTCCTAACTAATTTTAATCTTGTATAGCGTACTGATACATTGAAAAATAATAATACATACATTACAAAAAGCACATTTTAAAATTAGCTGTATACAGGAAAATATATTTTTTTGAATAAATATGTGATTGAATAAATACTCAAGTCATAGAAATGGACCTGGATTCCCGAAATTTAATAATGGTTATGATTTTCTTCACATACAGGCTTATATTTTGTCTCCTAGATGGCAGCACTAATGATAATGTTTCCATTAAATTTTTTTGTGTGAAGTATGAAAAAAGCAGTACTTTTCTTTTTATAAAAGACATGAAAAGAAGTTTATTTCTTTTTATGTCTTGGAACTTCGAAAGAAAAGTATGGTTTTG